GAGCACTTTACTCGCAGAAATTCCATTAAATTTGATATACTTTAAATTACATAATTTTACGTATATTTATTGCTAGTATTAATAGTTTGCATTCTTATTTTATTTTATTATATATTTTTTTATAAAGAATAAAATAATTGAAGAAAGGAGAACATATGCTTGTGTGTACACAGATAGCTGAAAAAGGAAGAATACTCTTGGTTGCGATAAAATGGGTGTCTGTATGATGCAACACGTGGCTGGTTGAAATTTCGAAAGTGGCCGGCCGGGAGAAGAAATTTGACGTAGCAGAGAGAAATTTATTTGTTTCATTGGTGACATAGTAGTTTCTATTGCTTCTACTTATTTATGTATCTATCTGTTTATTATATATATATATATATATATATATATATATATATATATATATATATATATATTTTATATTGCGTATATTTTGGCAGCATGTTTTTATTAAAACATGTATCATTAAAAAATTTAGACAGGTTTTTCTACTTATTTTTAATATGATCCTCTCATATTAACGGAAAAAACTTCCTTATTAAAGAAAGAAAGAAAGTTACCATATTGATGCATATTCGTTTATTGCGAGTACTTTCGACATTAGCAAAACGTCATCTTCAGTGTCTGGTTTTATTAGAGTCTTCTTTTATCTAATACAAATTTGTTGTGTTTATCTGAAAATTAAATTTTTTAATTGTGAAGTGAAAAGCGCTAAACTTATGTATTATAAGATTTTTAAATTTTATGTTGTAAACATATTCATGCAGTAACTTCAATGTCCGCCTACTATTTAAAGCTATTTTAAAACTATCTACTGTAAACATTTCTAAACATTTGTGCAGTATTCATAATTAATTTTATTAAGGACTAATTTCAATTTTTTAATATAGATAACTTCAAGAATTTTTAGTTTATTTTAATTATTTTCAGGAAAACGTATAGATGTATTTTTAACAAGAAGTTTTCTAAATTGCGAATGTGGAGAAGCATACTGTTGTAAATGAATAGAAATGTTAAATGCATCATTCAAATGAAAACTCAATCTCCGAGACAACGTAGTTATAGTGTGGCCAACATAAATATTATTTTTTCTGTTGGAGATACAATCTCCCAAAGGACATTTACATCTATATATAATGTTGGTTTTCTGCAACAACTTAATTGACGGGAAGGATCCATTACGAATGATTAATTCGGATATATTGAATTTAATATAGTATATAATTAATTTTCTTTTCGTTTTACTAAGATCTGTGGTCAATATATTAGTATTTATTAGTTTTTTAGGATATTTTCATTCTGTTTATAATTAGACTGTATTTGATTGCGATGTGAAAGATTAATATGTTTAGGATTATTTGAAGTATTGTATTCTGTTTGCTTTATATTAAAATTTCTAATATTTTATTTGTTCATCGACAATGTAATTAGGGGAGTTATTATTAAGAATTTGTTTAATATTTTTTTAGTTCACTATAGAAAATCTGTTTTGTGGATGAGTTAATTTTTGCACGGTCTATTAGGTTTTTTATATTTGCTATTTTATAGTAATTTGGACATTCATTCTTATAATTAATAGTGCACGAATTTATGTTAGTAGTTTTTTTTATGCGGAGAGATAGTGAATTTAATATTATTAGTGTTTATCAATATATCTAGAAAAGAAATTTTATTACTAAGTGTGCATGTAAATTTAAGGACAGAATTATTTTGAAATTGGTTTTGGAGTTGATATATTTAATATATAATTCTGCTTAAGATCAGGATATCATCGACATATCTTAGGTAGTTGGATTTTTTAAAAAAATCTATTAAATATATTGTTTTCAAGACTAGGCATATATATATATATATATATATATATATATATATATGACTAGATATGACTACATGCACATATATATATATATATATATATATATATATATATATATATATATATATATATATATATATATAAACATAGGAGGAAAATAGAGAAAATTTAAAAAACAGTTAATTCTTTGAGAAACCTGTATCAAAGGAAAATAAGAAATTAAATTAATGGAGCCAAGCAGCATAGACAATGTGTCTAAATGTAGAGAAAAGCGAAAAATCACAATAATTTACAATCAAAACCACCACAGAAGAAATGTAGTGGTCTCAAAAAACACTTTGAATCACATTTCAAACTCTGACGACACTAAACTTAAGAATCTCGCAGAAACAGAACATATACCAATCATTACAAAATCAGTTTCCAAAGATAAACAAAAACGAACTTATTGATGAGGAAATTAAGAGTGCTATTAAAAAAAGGAATCATACGACACTGAGGCTGAATTTTTGAAAATGGTTTACTTTCTCCCCGAATTCAATAACAAATTTCTCTATTTCAAGAAACAAGTCTGGAATCAGAAATTCATCTCCAAAAAGTGGAGTTTATCACGCATTAATGAATTATGGAAACAGAGAGCTAACGAATCAAGGCCCTCTCGGATAGAGAGACATTTCAATTTAGTTCCATCATAGAGAAAGTATTAATGAACATTCAATATTAACTAGGCTCTCATCGTTTTATGAAAATCAACTCCTTACGACCCAGTTTGCTTTTCGTTCTGGTAAGGGATACAATGATGGCATATATGTCATCAAACAAATCCAAGAAATTGCTTATCTCTCAATTAAGAAACTGAATACTCGCTTTGTTGACCTCACAGATCATATAACCACATAAATAGAAAGTTCCTCTTCTCGCCCATTGGATACCACTGAATGCATCAATCTAATAGAGGAACTGTATCAATCTACAAGATCTTACAAGTCTGGCGAGGATCACAATACAGAAACATTTCAAACCTCAGCTGGAGTACAACAAGGAGGAAATAAGAACCCCGGTCTATTTAACCTTTTTCTAAACTCGGCCATGCTCATATACTGACGTGAATAAATCATTTACATATTCCATACCTCATTCTAAATAACCTACCGATAGAAAATAACGATCTTGCTTCTCCTCCCGAGGCCAATGTACTGATAATGAATCGGGGTGCTATGCTGATAGCATAGATAATTATATTTGGGATAAGAATGATATTGAACAGAAAATCAACATTCTTTATCAATCATTCCAAGAAATAGGACGAAAGATAAACCTTTCCAAAACGGAAACTATGATCTGGAATTAGGATGATATCAGTGATAGAACATACCCTAAGTCCAACATAAGAAATTTAGAATGTGGAATTAGTAAATACTAAACACTTCAGATACCTCGGGAGTATGTGTCAGTTATAACAAATTTAATACATAAGAAAAGGAAATTAACATAGAAAGGCTTCACCAGAGGTACTTTCGCCCAATACTGCAAATTGCTACAAAACTAAAACATCAACCTGAAAACTCAAGTCATGTTCTTAAGCAGCCTCTTCAGATTGAGTCATTCATATGGATGTCATGCATGGAGCCAAACCCGTTCAGAAATATCTTAACTGTCAGTTGTATGCAACAGCATTATAAGATCAATTGTTAAAAATGTCTTTGAGAAAGTAAAAGCCGAGGGTCTTGGTAAATACCATTCTTCTCCAAATCTTGTGAACTGGCGCTACATAATTAAAAGAAAAGAACAGTACCAAATAACAAACACCACATCACTTGAGGACTATCAACAGTAGCTACAACTGAAATGGATATCACATATATCTGGAAGGATGTTGACATTCCACATTACTTCAGATAAAAGGTTAGTAAGGAAACCTCCATCAATACTGGAAAGAGCGATAACAGCTACTGGATTTGACAGCTACTGTATTTGAGAAAACTATTTTCCTGAAACATTGTTTTAAGAGAAGATTTTTATAAATTTCAACCAAAAGCAGTACTGGCTGCTTATATCAATGAATGCTAAAAGTTTCCTTATAAGGAAACGGCTAATATTATCATTACCATTGTATTTATATCATAAACATACCATGTGAATTGCAGATTATAATAATTGTGTTATTTAAAAGTAATTACAATAAATGATGTGATATTCTATTATTTACTCGAGATTGGTAGGTTCTTGTTTAGCAGCATATCAACACCTCTATAGGTTATTTAATACCGAAATTTAAATATTTGTACGCAATTTTAGTCTTTTTTTTAGACAGTAAAGTTTTTAGTGTTACAAGCCTTACTAATTAACTCATAGCTAGGAGAGAAGAATTGGATTCATATATTTCCCAAGAGTATTTGCGCGTAATTGAAGATAACGATCCCAAATGGAATTGGAACTCGGCTCTCCTATTAACAATTCCGACATATTATCAATTACACAAACCACACATCCAAGTATTGATTTTCCAAGCGTAGCTCAGATGTGCCACAAGGCCAAAAGTATGGGGTACCCAGTGAGGATCGAACTCACTACTCAGTCGTGATAGTTCTAGCGAGACAAGCTTGCTAACCATTACACCACCTCAAGGTGCCCTAGATTTTCCAAGCGTAGCTTAGATGTGGCACAAGGCCGAAAGTATAGGGCATCCAGTGAGGATCGAACTCACTTTTCAGTAGTAACTGATCTAGCAAGACAAGCTTGCTATCCTTACACCCCGTCGAGGTGCCCAACCTCACATCCAAGTATACAGCACCTGATACTCCGAAGAAGTTACCCATCCAGTCACTGACCAGGCATCACTTTGGTTAACTTCGGTGATCATAGGGGAGCCAGAGTTTCAACTTGTGTCCGTAAGCCTTTTACATCACCCGCAGATCCAAGCTTTTAGCACTTGGTATTCCCAAGTGATCACCCATCTACATACTGAACAGGATCGACATTGTTTAACTTCAGCAAACTACGCCTGCGAAAATCAACTAGAGATTATATGAAAGAAATTCTAGTTAACAATTCATCGTAAAATCATTACAACATAAGATGTGCAGATTGCACAATTTGGATAGCAGGCAAAGAAAGAAAACGGCATGATCAGCTACAGAAGGCGACTTACGGGTGATATAAAGGGCTTACAGACACTAGACGTTAAAACACCGCTTCCTCTACAATCACTGAAGTTAAGTAATGTCGAGCCTGGTCAGTACATAGATGGGTGACCGCTTGGAAATACCAGATGTTGCAAGCTTGAATGTGTGGGTGGTGTAATGGATAATGATTCGGAATGCCAAGTTTCAATTCCAGCCGAGTTACGTGCAAATACGCTTGGGAAAGGTATGAATCCACCTTTTCTTCCCCAAGCTATGGGTTAATTAGGAAGACTTGTATCGGTAAACCATTATTATCTCCAAAAATAAAATATAATTGTGTATGTACAAAAAATATTTAGATGTCGGCATTAAATAACCCATAGAGGTGTTGTTACGCCGCTAAATAAAAACAGTCCACAGAAGGAAAGCGAGAAGAAAGGTCGAAACATCAATTGTAAATCTAGCTGTCAACAAGAGAAACATCTTAAGATGTCGACGCTGTTTTTCAATCCATAGCTGGGAGAAGAGATAGATCTGTACCTTCACCAAAGGTATTTGCGCGTAAATGAATATAATGGACCCGACTAGGAATTCGAACTCGGCTCTACGATCATCTTATCCATTACGCCACGACGAACATCTTTATTACTTAGCACTAAACACGAGTCTGAAGACAATAGTGAAGAGGTAGAACAGTACTTTGAGTTTGTATTATAGGTAGTAAAATTCCTTTCAAAGTTGATGATAGTGTAAAGACAATTACAGAGGATTGTTGCTATTAAGTTTTGTGTTATTTACAAATCCATTTGATTAGTTTAAAGTCTATATAATTCCATACGCTTTTTATGGTGTCATCTTGATTTCTTGAGAGAGTTTGCATCGCGGTAGGGACATTGACATGAATCTAATATTGTTGGCGAACCTGTTTTATCTGCACGAGTCTTATTACTATCTATATCTTTAATTAGGTAAGTTTGAGATCCTGGTCAACACACATTTGTACAACGAGAACAACTGAAGTAATAAAATTTATCTAAAATGCCCAGGGCAAGCTGTTGTATTTATTTCAGAATGACATGAATGAAAAATAAAAATGATGCTAGTAGGATAGACGTCAACACTGAAAACAATAAGTTTAATTAAGTAACAACTCCACTTTTTATATTAATGCATGTATTTATAAAGGCGTCTCACCATATCTCTATCTATAAAAGGCATGATGTGTGTGTGTGTGTGTGTGTGTGTGTGTGTGTGTGTGTAACGAATGCACGGCCGCAATTTTCGACGGATTTGCACCAAAATTTACATGCACATGCTCCAAGTTAGCGGGAAGTCCAAGACCGACTATGCATTTCCCAACTCCCATCGATAGTGGAAATAATCGATTTTTTCATGCTTCTACGGCAGTTTTCATGTAGTTTGCGGCCATTTTGTATTGACCAGAGTGAGAGCCTATAGCTGGCTGCCACGAATAGGCAGAAAGATTCTATTGGCCAGCGTGAGAGCCAACAGCTGACTGACACGAATGCTAACTAGCATGCTAACATGCAAAAAAAAATCGATAGCTGCATTCGTTAAAAGTGGGAAAAATTTAAATCTGCATGGCACTTTACTCCAATTGGCTCATTCGCTTGTTTAAACTCAACGTTGATTCTGATTCCGCAGAACTGGGTTGGTTGTGAAAAAGTATTTGTTGTTAACATTCTTTTTTCATTCGGTTTTTCCAGTTACGAGTCCTTTTTTAAAGCTGATCGTTTTGTGTTCATTTTGTTTAGTTCTTTTTTCGTAACAGATTTAATGTTTAGTATAGAGCTTAGAAAAAATTCGCAGTGTGAGTTAGGCAAGAAGTAAGGCATGTAGCAACATCAGCACGGCAAAGGGCACTCCTTTAAAGGCAAGGAAGGGCAAAAATTGTTTAAGTCAAGTGATAGCGATTGCTGTATGAGTCGTACGATTCTTGAATCAAGCACGGGGAACGCCGGGCCATGCTGCTAGTTATATTTTAAAATAGGTCATATATATGAATTATATATATGCCTGTCGTTGAACGTGAGTAAGAAAGCAAGACTTGCAGACTATTACTTATATAGATTCAGTTTTTTCACTATTGTGATCCTGATGCAATTACAGGTTACTTCATTCTCATTTATTCAGTTGGCGCATTTTGCGCCGCTGTGGTAACCACTCACCTCTGTTGTAATTGTGGTTCATGGTGACATTTAAGGTAAAATATTGCAATGGCTTGTCGGTTCCTTTTGCACCGGGGATGTTGAGGTTATCCCCGTCCCTCCACTCAGAAGTTCCGTCATCGATTGGTAAAGCCGTTAACATACCCAGGCTGACAAATGGCCGATGGCCGTTTGGCACAGGGGGGTTGGAGAGAGGCATCCCCCTTCACCGGTCGGATCGGAAAACCCTTCCGACTGCATTCAGACAGTTTAGCCGACAGGTCGATGCCGTTGACCGGTGTGTGGCCGATGCAGTGCCCATGCGACTTCTTGGGGCCGTATGTGAGAGTTGTATGTAGGCCGTGGAACACCAGTACAGTTTCGCATCGGAACTCACGAGAGTAAAGCAGTTTCGACCGCTTCGCTAACAATAGATCCCATACACCTCCTTGCTTACAGGTTACTTAGTATCGATAATATAAAAAAAAGAGAAGAAAAAAAAGAGGAAGAAAAGCCATCTCCCTTCAGGATTTAGGGGATCATGTTTCTCCACATTTTTATTTAATATGCATCAATTATTTTCAGAATGATATTCAAGCTACTGTTATTTTACTTCAATGTTATTTTTAACACCGTGTCCCTTCAGAACGTAAGTGATCATGGTTCTCCACAGTTTCTCTTTCTTGAATATGCATGAATTATGTTCAGAATTATTTTACTACTATTTTTAACACCATGTTCCCCCGCGCAACACACCGATACATATTTAACGCCATGTGACACACACATACCCATACTCATACATATATACATTATCATCCGAATCCCACATAGAGAAACTAGAATTATGATACGCTTACACACAATATATACACACGAACACAGCTTGGCTAGTCAAATGTATAAAAATCAAATACAAAAATAAAAATACCAATTTTTCTCTCCATATCTCATTCGCTGATGAAACTATAATAAAAAGCGAAACATGTTAGATTTATAAACGTTTTCTATTTGTTCTTTATCCTATCGCACACACACACACACACACACACATATATATATATATATATATATATATATATATATATATATATATATATATATATATGTACAGTTAATATAAGTAAGAGGTTTGTCAGCTGACTGATGCTACCGTCAGCATCTCGACTCCAGAGTTTCGTAGATGGGCCCTCCGGGAATCACGCCATCCACTCGTTAGTGGGTAGGATTAATATAGAATTCCTGTCTTATCTGATTGATGTTATATTCAGCAGAGTTTCGTATTCTTTAGACTGACGATTCTTGCTCGTGTCCTTTAGAACTCAATAATTATCTGCATTTATTTTGACACACAATCATTAACTTTGAAAAGACCAATAATTTTACTGCTCACAGTACTAAACCCAAAACAGAACTATACCTCCTGTCTTCTGATTAGTAAAGAAAGATTATTTATAACTCAATCTAATGTAATGTTCTGTTTATATATATAATGGATGAAACGGCGCTATCTTGGTATGCTTGGTATATGTTTTTAAGATAAAATTTACAAAAAATTGTTGGGCAGACTAGGTATTAAGCATTTCCAAAAATCTACTGGTCGATTTCTGGTAAGACTTTATCCAATAGTTAAAGAAACAATATTGAGCTTCTCTCTCTCTTTCTTTCTCTCTCCCTCTCTCTTTCTTTCTCTCTCCCTCTCTCACCCCCTCTCTCTCAGCCCCTCCCTCTCAGCCCCTCCCTCTCTTTCTCTCTCTCTCACTCTTTCTCTTACCCACTCTAATATAACGCTTATTGTAATACGAAATATTGTCGGATTAAAAAAAAAAATCAAGGCTTACTTGCCCTACAGCCTGACGGGTGGACTGCGTCTACGAAACTTAGGAGTTGGGATACTGAGGGTAACATCAATCTGCTAAGTGACAAACCTTCCAGGCTTTTACAACGTTTCACCATTTTTGATAAATCTTCTATTATCACAGTGTGGTTTATTTAATAACAAAGATAATGGAAACAAAAACAACAAAAAAATCTAAATGTATCGGTTAGATTATATATTCAAAAGACATATTTAAAAAAAAAATTCTCAGCGTCTCAAGTTGGTGCGTTTGTGCCATCTTATCAATGTAAAGAAATTCAGTCAGATGAAGTCCTAAACGAAAACCTTTTCCATTTTGACATACACCTTTCCCCAAAAAATTTTCTTATATATATATATATATATATATATATATATATATATGTGTGTGTGTGTGTGTGTGTGCGTGTCTGTGTGTGTATGTGTGTGTGTTTCATTAAAGACGACGGACAAAGCATTGCGATTAAGCTTTTTATTGTTTTCTTGTGTTCGAACAAGTGTTTTCTTTTCTGGACACAGAGTGTGTAGAAACTGTCCAAATGTTCTGTAATAATAACCTTCATAATAAAAAAGAAAAAGCAACCACTCAATAACGAACACGGCCACAATGTGCTAAATGTGTTCGGAAAATAAAACATCACTCTAATTCTAGGAACATACAACCCATACACCCAACTAAAAAGCAAAAATAAAACCATCCTTGATAATGGCTAAAAGTATAGTCGAAAGAGCCCGGAATTAAAGAACATTTGGACAGTTTATACACACTCTGTGTTCATAAAAGAAAACACTTGTTTGAATACAAGAAAAATTAAATAAAAAGCTTAACCTCAGTACCTTATCTGTCGTCTTTAATGAAACATGTATAAATGGATGGTTGTTGCCTAAATACACACTGTATATATATATATATATATATATATATATATATATATATATATATGTGTGTGGGGGGGGGTCTTAGCCGAATCCACTTCACACAATTTCACCAAATGACCAAACAAAGTCGGATCGAGGACTTTTCAGCGCATTTTCATCTATCTATCTATCTATCTATCTATCTATCTATCTATCTTAGTTATCCACAGACAGACTGTTTCGCTCTTTCACAGTACATCAGTGTGGCTAGA